CAGCAGGGTGAACACCAAAGGATGCTCACAGCCAATACTTCTGATAATCAGCCTATCCCATGAAACCTGCAGCCTTCTCCACTCCAAAAGCATGAAAGCAAAGCTCATGCTAACTGTAAAGGACACGCAAGCACCAACACACATCATCTCTTATCTTCTATTTCACAGGACTTTTAGCAATTGCTATAGTACAATAAAATGTAAGTCACCCCCAGCCTCCCCCTCTCTTGGGTGGTTCAGGAAATTTTCTGTGACTCTTTAATTTCAAATCACTAAAGACCAAAATTTAGCATGAAAGTCAGTAGCCCGATGCAATAAACATATATATTCATAAAGACTTCAGTTCCATTAAGGTTTTACTATCAATAAACAAGGAACATAAAGTTGGTATTCTGCTAAATGTGGAGGAAACTATTTCCTTTGTAGGAAGACGTTTTCTAGCCAGAAGGTAGCACAGAAAAAAATCCTTTAGACTCAGTTTCTCCCTCTCCTCTCAGACTCACTTTAGCCTTTATTCTGATCGAGCCACAATGCAACTTCATATGATGCCATGGGTGAGGTATTTTCCTCTTTATGGTAAACAAATGATGTCACAAACACAGGACTGTGATTTCACTGCAGAACTGAACAAGTAGGTATCTGATGCATGGAATGACAATTATTGTTCAGACATGAACAGCAGAAATAATTGCAAAAGTAAAACAAATGAATGACCACGTAAATTAATTTCTTTTTGAATCATTCTTCCTGTTTTCCAAGTCCAAATGATTCTCCTTTCCTATTTAGGAACCCTGAGGGGATGAAAAAATGTCCAAGATGGTGAAATTAAAAATTAGCTATTGAGCATGAAACATGCAATGATTGCACTTCATAACATTTTTATTGCCTTGGTGGTGTATGAATCACTTCACAGTTCCACACTATTACAATGAAAAAAATGACACCAATAAACTCTGAGCAATTGATGTTATGACTTCATCAATCCGGGACTAAAGGCACTCACAGAATGACAAATGTTCTCAAGAGTGGAGAAAACCACCACCTCATTCTGAAGAAGCACAGGTTGCCTCTTTGTCTCTTTCTGAGGAGTGGTTATCCTCACCCCAAACAGATGGAATATGGGAACAATCCTCAGTACAGCTCCATGTGACATGACCTTGCTTTTCCTCTCTGAAACTGGGCAAATTTGGGTTTCTCAAGAGCTATGAACAGAGCTGATGCACAGTGAAGCTACAGCTAACACAGAATGTTCCCAATTTAGAAAATTCTCACTCCTTTGAGGTTCTGCATCAAGACTGTATCATTTTAACCATGACCTGCACTTAGCCTGAATTTTTAAAAGTCTATAGATTCTGGAAGTATGAAGTAGAATTATCTTTACAATTTCACTAAACACAAAAAAGTTCAATTTATTACTGCTTAAAGCTTTCAAGAGGACAATAATCTCTGCTTAAGACAACAAAAGCAGCATCCAAGTAATCTATCAGATACAACATCAAAGGCAGAGTGCAAGGAACTGACCTCCTGCAGGGAGAATGTACCTGCTTTTGACAGCCATGCTCAAGAGCTAACGAATGCAACCTTAAATTTCCTACTTAAGAGTTCAGCTTGCACATAACTAAATAAATATTTTAGCCTGGTTGTTCAAAAAAAAAAAACAACAAAACAAAACTCCCATCTCTACCAAGCATCACTAAATCCAAACCGGTTCTGAACAGCAGAAACTAACAATTTTTTTCCTCTCTAATACATACTAGCTTTCTTTTTTTGAGTTGCTAGACATCTTGACTCAGGTATTAAAAGTCCCTGGTAGGATTCTTTCCTTTTAATATAATAGCTCATATCCCTTATAAAATCATTAATAGAAAATAAAGCCCTTTTTGTTAACTCTAATCTTGCTTCCTTGCAAGTGTGCCAGAGGCATTTTAATATAGATCAGGTCATGAATATCACAAATTACAGCAGCAATGTGTGGCAACAGAAGATCAGATTATTCATATAACAGTAATACCTTCTTCCTTCTTTGATTAGAAAAAAGTAAACAGCATGCATTGATCTCCCAGCACAAAAAGTCACTTCCTCTTAAATCTGTGTTTTTCTGATCCTTACAAATCCAGGTTTACAGTGTGAGGTAATGGCACAGCACAAACCTTAGAATGATGAATGAGGGATATTACAGGGTGTAATAAAACCTACTTCATTTTATGTCAAAATTCTCTCCCGTTTCCCATGATGTACAGGTATGAAGCTCAGACAGAGTAGGAAAAAGTTAGTAGGTGCTGTTTTCTCTAAAGTTTCCTATGGCAGACTCACAGCAGACGCATTATGAACAAAGCAAATTATGTACAGGCAGGCACAATTATGGAAGAATTAATGAACCAACAAGAACAGCCCCGGCCATAAATGCAGTATAGGAAAATGAAATTAAATTCACAGTTAATTTATACATCAGTATTGCAATGCAGAAAAGCACACCCCATTAAAGTTCCTATTTTTCCTGAGTATTGCCGGAACAAGGAACTGTAGTTTATTTCCCTACTTGCAATGATACACTGGGAAGGACTCACAGGATTTTCAGACGGGTTCATAGTGAAGAAAGACAGGAGTAATGACCAAACAGAAGCATAAAGATGTTATTCACACACCCATTACCCACTGCAGAGCCCCCCACAATGCCATTCCACCACAGGGTGCAAAAATGGCTTATTATTAGTAAAAACCTATTTCCAGCCATCCAAAGATTCAGTTCAAGTTACAGTACAATAAAGAGGTGTTTTACCTTCAATATGTCCTATTCCTTTAACATAACTCAACAAGGCATCAGGTGATGCTCACATTAATGCCAGCTGCCCAGTCCAAAGGACACATCTATTAGCCCCCAATGACATTTCGCTTCAAAGGAAGTGAACTTTTTTTGCCACCCAAGTACCTCTGCTGAACTCTGATAAAAACCAATCTTGGTTGATAAAAAGTCCATGAAAAAAATTAATGAAGACTTCCAAGAAACCTTCCCCAAGGAGAACATTTAAATTCTTCAGCAATATGCAGCATTAACATCTGATGGGACAAGCCTGTCAAGGAGAAGCCTTAGAAAGATGGTGCTGGTTTTGCAGAAAGAATTACCACCTCTGATTTTTGGGGCCAGGCTGGAGTCCTAACTCTAATTAAATTCCAATCTGCTTTTTCCAGGTTTCATAAAATGCTGTCTCAAATAGGCTTATCTTCTAAGAAGTACAGCATGATCTTCTCATTAAATAATCTGTTACAATGGGAACACATTAGTACTAAAGCCATAGAAGACTCAGGAAATTATGAACATTTTCCCCCAAACTAGTATCACTTTTAAAAAAAAGTGCCTTAGTATCACCTTAAAAAAAAAAGTACATTCACAAGTCTGCTTGAAAAGTGGGAACTTGCTGTTTAAATGTTTCTTCAATGTTATCTCTATTTTGTTCTTTAATTAATAAAGGGATACATGCACCAACATTATAAACACTAATTTGCTATTTAGCATCCCAAATTAGGAAGCATAAACATTTATGCACTTCATTAAACACTACCTAAGAACACTTTTGATATTAACAGGAGACAAGCTAGGCTGTTAAATGCAATTTCAGGGCACACGTAAGACACTGTAAAAAGACACTCCTGCTCTTCCTGTCCCTTGCCATAAAAGCTCCCAGGCTCCATCCTGTTGGCACCAGCTCTTATGAAACAAACCTTGGAAATCAGTGAGATCTGACTCATCTGCACAATCACAGGCACCAGTTTAAGGGAAGGGACAGGAATGCAGGGACCCAGCAGTGAAAGCGGGGTGTACCTGTTAGGCAGCATGGCATTAGATTGGTACAAGGCCATCAGGAAATTGGACTTTAGGAAGCATAAAACAAATACGCCCTGAATTAAGACATCATTTAAGTGCAGGTGATGTACAGAGAGAAACAACCTGGTGTTTTATTTCTTCTATCCCAAAAAAGGCACTGCAGTTCTAACATGCCTCCTCCTCTCCTCTCCCCTTTTGCTTCCACCCACCCCAGTCCTTCAAGGAATTACAGAATCATTTAGGTTGGAAAATACCTTTGAGATCATCAAGTCCAACTATTAACCCAGCACTGCCAATTCCACCACTACACCATGTCCCCGAGTGCCAGGTCTGCCCACCATTTAAATACCTCCAGGGATGGTGGGTCCACCACTTCCCTGGCAGCCTGTTCCTTTCCAAATTATCCACATTTACAGGACACTGAAATAGGCTTCACATTGGAATAAACCAGTGCTACAGGAAGATGATGAAAAATAGTAAGTCTTTCAAGACTACAGAAAGCAGAATTGCAGTAGGAGAAAAGAAACAAATGCTGATAACTCAGGAACAGGAGCCTGAAAGGTAAATAATCACACCTGTATGTGTAAAATACATTAAAGGTTAACCAATATCAGTAATATAAAAAATCCTAAAAATTCATCAGTCCAGACCTTAAGTTATCTCTAAATCCTTAATGAAAAAAGGAACTCAGGTTATTTTCTTTCACTTACACACGATAAGACATAATTCAAATGACAAATTATTCCTCATAACTTTGCATTGCAAGTCTAACTTCAATGTAGAAAATTATTTTTATTTTTAATTTAAATTTGTACTAAAAGTGTCCATTATTAAATTATGGACCCAGACAAAATGGTACTAAATTTTCTATTGTACATAATCTTGCCACAAGTGTGGCAGTTTTTAAATGGTTTGAAAATACAAATACAGTAAAAAGAGAGTGTTTCAAGAACAGTAATATGGACACACTGAAGAGCTTTGTACCACAACCAGAAATCTGAAAAATGTCTTGGTGCCCAAAAAAGAAGTGCTTTTAGATTTATTTATTAAAATAAATTATCATGATTTTACAACTTACAGCTTTGAGTTCTTTGTTGTTTATTGGTTGTATTTTTTTTTAACTATGACGGCAATGGTGATCTACCTACAAGATAATAAGTGAAAAAGAAGAGTTCTGTGTTTTTGATCAAATATATTGTTAGAGATCAAAACAAAGATTTCTAAAAACAAACGATTAAAATTTCAGTTCAGAAAAACACTTATTAAAATACAATCAACCCCTTTTCAATAGCAAAGTGGATTTTGTACAGTTCTTCCTTCTAAGCAGATCTTTACTGCAGTTTAGATCCACCAACTCCAGTAAAACTAAACGTAGGCCAAATGGGTCGGTGTTTGCAGAATTACAACCTATGTACAGAACTGCTGGTAACAAACTGCAACTCACTGGAAAAACCTTTGAAAATTCATTTTTCATTGTGAGTGAACTTACAGTATATCTTACATTACTTAAAAGCAGTTTACACCATGACAGAACCGCTCAAAAAAATGAATCAGTTATAGGAAGAGAGCAACGCTTCAAGTCAGCTTCTGCCATCAGCAAAAACGCCACACAAATCAAAAAACAACACTTAAGTAAAACACTAAGACTTTATTAAAAATCCAAAATTTATTGCAAATTGTACTTTGCAATTTCCCTCCTTTCTTCATTTTTACATGATTTATTGATATCCATGATTTTTTCACAGATGTACTTGTTGACTTTGGAGAGTCTCTGTGCAATTTCAGTTTCATCCACAGTTTCTTGTGCTATTCTATCATACAAACATTCTGAGGAGAAAAAAAAGAAAAGAGTCATTAGGATATTTTTAGAAAATACTATAGCCCTGAGTTGGGCTAACTACACAAGAGACAGCACTGAGGAAGCACAGGATATATTTGTTGCAAGACAAGAGAAGCTTTCCTTGATTCACTGGCTATCTTGTTAAACTCAACATTTTTCACCAGGCTTGAATCTTTGGCATGACAAACTTCCAGTTATGCTGTGACTACATTAATAGGCCTTCTATACAGAAACAAGGCTAAACCCAACCTTTTACAGTGTCAGTGTTGCCTGCTTAACTCTTGTATTTTCCTGTATCTCCACATCAGATTTAGTCCTTTCCCAGGTGAACTGTCTCACCAGAACTGTTGTTATCTACAGTTCCTGGTGAGCCACTCCTACCTTCACACCTTTAGGAGAGTATGTAAACAATACTGGTTAGGAAGAGAAGCAGTAACCAGTGGGAGAACACTTTAACCCATTTGTTTTACTTTTCAAATCTGTCCCACATTCTTTAACGTCTCTGTCTTTATTGGATGCCCTGTTCCTGGGCATATCTTGCTTTTATTAATAGATTATTCAGGACAAGAGCCATCTCCTTGCTCCTTGAACAACACACTTTGTGAACTTAATTGGAATACAAAAAGCAAGCAACAGTAAGAACTGCAAAAGCCATGAGGGCAGTGAAAGTTGAGACAATTTTTCTTCACAGAGTTGGTAGTTTGGTGCCAGAATCCTGCACAGGTTACTGAAATCTGAAGTGGTGCGACACACACAACTCCTTTGTGACAGGCAGGTTTGAGTTTTTCTTTTTGTTTTCATAACCAGAATGATGTATTCTGTTGTGCAGACTTCCCAGATTGGTTAAACCAACTCTGTTCTGCTTTGCCTAGTGATCTATTCCACTAACCATTTATTGCTTCATATACAGAAAGCCATAGAGATTATTGCTTAATTAACATGGTTTACAACATTTCTAATGCACCATATTAAAAAGTTACGAAAATTAAGTACTATGCATGCCTTGTAGTTCATTTGGAAACCTCTGAGAAGTTTTATAAAAGGTTATTTTGCATTAACAAGGTTTATAACAGTGCTCATGCATCATACTTTTTATCATTTCTTTATTATATACTACACAGTGGGGATTTTTAAGAAGCCATAGAGATATCAGACACATTAACAGCTAATGCTGTCGTTCAAAAACCTATTTTAAATAAGTTAGTCTGTGTCCACAGAATGATGAGAACATCTAAAGCAATGTGAATTTTATGTTGTAAGACGTACTGAATATAAAATAAGTGAAATTAATCGGCACACAGCCTGATAGCTGAAATGCTGATCATCAGTAAACCACGGTTAGAAATGCAACACCTAAGAAGAGGCACGTCACTGAGAATCTGAAGAAACCCAGTGTGTTTGCAGGTCATAAGCTTGCCCTGCAACAACCTCAGCAACACTCCCGGGTTGTGGTAGATACACCTCATAAGGTGAACTCCCAGTGAGAGACAGGCTGTGTTATTTGTTTAGCCACAAGGTCAAGCAAAGAATCACTTGACTGAACTCGTTCATCAGCTGTAATTCTTAAAGTCAGTGTGACCCAGAGTGATCCATGATCCTCACAGTTTTTCTTCTTCCATCTCTTCCATTTCTATGAGGGGGTACAGTAGTAGTTTAGTACTCATATAAGGATGCTGGCCTAGGGGCTCCAAAGAGTGATTTGGGGTTTCTACTCCTTGTCTTTTGGCTTTAGAGGAGCATACAGACACCCCTTCGTATTGCTGAATGGACCAAAGATTCAAGTAGACCTCAAAGACTAACAGGGAGTTTCACTTCCTTCTGTCATGCCTGATCCAAATCACTGGCTATGGCAACCTGAACTTCCTCACACTTAACCTATTTTTCCACTTGCCAGTAATTTTTTCCCTTTGTTTTCTTCTCCATGGTGGGGCAAGACCTGCTAACACTGACGCAAATGCAAAGGACACGACAACATGGAAACTCATGGTTATGAGCTACCCAGTCCCACTAACGTAGGAAGCCTGCCACCTAAAACGTTGGCCACAGACTGTACAGGCTTGAGTCTAACAAAATGGGAACCAAAGACAAGGTGAAAGAAACACTGGAAAGAGGAACATGGAAAACCAGGGCATGTAACAGCAGAATTCAAATGAGGGTTGAGGTTGAAAGCAAAAGTATGACAGAAAACATAGAAAAACGAGGAAATAGGGAAGAGCTGAATTGTTGGTGAGGGTAAAGGTAGGGAAGAAAAGAAAGGAAGGGCCCCATCTGCCTCTCTCCATGTGCCTGTTGGAGCATACTCCCAAACTCACCATAGTCAAAACAATGGGAGTTAGAAGAAAGTTGTCATTTAAATGGCTCAAGCAACACAGAGTGGCCCTGACAGAAGTAGAAGAGGAAATTCTCACAGAAGCAACCTCACCAGCAGTGTTGAGGAGCAACAGGGAAACCAGAAAACAGTTTGCAATGGGCCAGTGAAAAATAACCCCTTTTTACTGTATGCTTGTCAGTGTGCATCTGGGTGACCAATTCTGTCTCCATCTGGAGCTGACAAGGGCAGCCACTGCCACAGAGTGGATTCCTTATGTGGCCAGTACATCATTACTCAGCTACATGGGTAAGGATTGCACCTAAAGGCCCCAGCCAGAACTACAAAATCAGCATGGAACAGCTTCCACTTCCACTTAAATTCCTGAAGCAGATTAGTAAAAAGAATCTACGTCTTTTACTCATTTCTTACAAACTAAGGAAGATGACAGTACGAAGGTAAGTTTTCAATTTTCCCCCACACAACACAGACACAGACACACGCACACACTCAAAGAGGAATCATATTTTTTACTCCCAAACGTGGCACTTTGGCAGATTACAACAGCTCTTAACAAGATCACAGTTAAGAGCACACAGCAACTAAGAACAGGAAATGCAGAATAATGAATCTCAATCAAAGGGAGATTTCTTTCAGCCCTACTGCAATTTTGTATGGACACAAAACCTACAAATCCAATTTCAGTATGTATTTCATGAGGAACCAACTCAGTTCTAACTTAAAGAGAAGCCTGAAATACCAAGAGAGACAGAAATGATGCAACACAGGCGTGATGATACAAAGGGACTGAAATTCACCATTTATTTTAAGTAAGGGAGAAGGCCTTCTCTCTCTCAAAGAACTACATACATGGACTCAGGCTTGTTACTGAAAGTGTCATTGCAATTTTCCCTGCCAGATGAGGTCAGCGATTTACACTTCCTGTCCAAATTCCAATTCAAGTGTAGCAATTAATTTTTACTATTTCCATTTCCTCCACTTAAAAGGGTAAAGCTATACTTTCTTGCCTTTGAAGGTACACGTATTTTATAGTCACAGCTATAATGGTTTCTGTGCCTCATGCCAGAGCCGGTTATATTCTGGATGACAGAATGTGGTAAAGCTACTCTCGGTCTTGTTAAAAGGAATATATGCATTTAAAAAAAAAATCATTCTGTTATAAATGAATTCTAGAACATATTGTTCTCCAGGCTGAGAGTCCTGCCCTGCAATGGTGATCCCCTCGAACCTTACTGAAGTCAATGTACAACTCTTCAGCTGTGAAGGCCTGCACTGTGCACAGCTATTGCAATGTGTTTGACTTTTCCTGGGTATGTATGCACTTCACAATGCAATAGCAGTCTGAATTACAGTTTTTAATCAGTTAATTTTAAATGAGCTGAAAAGAAGCATCTTTCAACTCAGTGATTAATGGTTAAACTCCAAAGCAGGAAGCAAAAGTTTTCAAATAACCTACCTCTGACAATGCTTAATTTGTGAGGTGAGAGAGGTGGCTTGGGAACGGCATCTTTCTTTTTTTTGGTTGCAACTCCTGTGACACTTCTGTTCTTGAGAACATCTGTTCCCCAAATCATAACCGCTAGATTTTTTGTATACTTTGAATCTCCTTGTGTTACTTGCAGCTGGTGCCATTTCTCCTCATCTACCCAAATTCCACTGCCAAGATGGACCTAGAAGGTAGTAATAATAACAACTTATCTATGGTATGTAGCACACAACAGTATCCAAGTGCTGTAGGAACATTAATATTAGGTACTATAATAACAGTAATTAGGGCTGAACAAATCCACTTTGCCTAACTCTGAAATTTCTCCAACTTTGTGGGTCAGGGAGTTCAAGTCAACCTCTATATATAATATAGTTCCTTTTTGTAATCACTACTTTTCCCCCCCACATAACCTGTCTCCTGAAAGACTGTGGTCAGGAACAGAGATCGAAGAAGGAAACAGTGAACACATCCAGTATTATAAAGTTATGCACAGCATATAAACCAAGCACTTGCACCAGCCTAATTCAGGAGCAAGATGAAACACTTCCCTTCGACTGAAACAGATTTTACTCAAAGCATATTTCAGAGGCAGTAAAGAGGGAACTACTTCCTAAGTCATATCCTGTACCAGTTGGCAAAATTCAGCCTGATTGTTTAAAGTAACTGAAAGGGGAGAATGGATTTTGAGAGCTCCAATTTCAACATAAGCCAAGAGAGTTTGGAAGCCTTGTAAAGCTTCCAATTCTATCATGGTGTCTATCACGTGCCATCAAAGTACCAGATGAATACTGTTTTGTGGTCAGGCAACGACCCACTGCTGCAACATCATAAACTTCCCATTATCCAAACCATGGGAAGTAGAGATATTTCACTGAAGTGGTAAAGCAGGATAATATGGTGTGAGACACTGGATTATTATATTAATTATTGGTTCGGAACAACTCAAGTGGTGTGTTGTGTGGGGAAGGACAGGTAAAATTTTGGGAAGGTAAGGTGATGCCCTGTCCCACACCCCAACCCCTGTGAGACTCACTGGGCAACTCTGGAGCAGCTGTCAGTCAAACAGATCCAGCCCAGATGATCCAGCTACAAGAGTCCAGGAGATAAAGTTTGAACAACCATGGGGATCCAGGGGTGGTAGCTGTAATTCCCTTTTTCTCTCTGTCTTTCCTTCTTTTTCTCCTAATCTCCTTTCTTGATATTTTGGGTAACTTAGGACCAAATGGGCTGGATTTTGCTAAGCTGAATGGGTTAGCATGTGCTGTGTCAGTGCTTTGTGGCCTGCTTTATTTTGGTTGACTGTTACCCTTTAAACTTTTGCCAAATACTCTTATTTTCTGAAGTTTACCAATAAAAGAGAAAATGTGTGCAGTTTTCCTCCTGTGCTCTCTCCTTTTAAGGCGTTAAAAGAACTGAAAGCTCTTCTAATAATCCAGAGGGTGGATATTGTTGGAGCCTTGTACATTTTCATTTTGGTGAGCTTGTAGCTCAGGTGCTGGTCTTACATGGGTACTGGGAAATGCATTGTGAAGCTTTTGTAGAGTCTCCAAAAGGAAGATGCTCAAGCCTAGTTTTGCTCATTAGCCTTGCTCAGCACTGACTGTGCTGGGCCGACTCCCACAGGGCTACTCCGTGTCTCTACCACAAGATTCCCAGTGCTCCAGTCTTAAGATCAATGCAGGACAAGAATCTGAGTACTGACTGTCCTTAGGATGCCATTCTGTGTTTGAGCCAATAGTCTTGACATTCGTGACCCTGTGCAGCAACAGCGAGGAAACAACTCCACAGGTAACCAGCACAGGTCTGACACAAGTGCAGCCAGGGTGCACATGCTGGCCCCGTGTGGAACCAGAATATTTTGTACCTTGTATGTCTATACTGCAGTTCCTGGAGTACAGTGCAGACCCCTGAACTACCTCTGCACACAGAAAGCTTTGTTCACATGGTGATGAACTTCATTCAGTGGGACACACACTTGCTCACCACCCATAACAAGCTAAGGCGTGATCAAGGCATCCCAACTGCCGATCAGAGTTCACTGCGCTTACTTTCAGATAATCTGTAAAAGTGCAACATACTAAAAATATGTACCAATTAGACTGCTGTATATCCAAAACCTAGGTTTCATTAGATCTGGTCCAATGGAGGTCCTTCCTATAACACTTTAATAAAAACTTACTGCCACTTAAGGATTAAAAAAAAAATCCCATGAACAAAATCCTATTGCAAAACTGCATCAGGAGACTCCATTTCCCTTAACTGGTCTGCCCTTAGTTTTCTGTGGTTTTACTCCTTTCATGTGGCTTTACATAAACTGTGCCTGCTACCCATACAGATCTGAACAGTATCACATAAGTCCCATTAAATGCAATGAAAATTGGACAAAGCTACTGTAAAATTTTATATACCCATAATTTTACTGCCTGTATTCAACCAGATACCATTTTTCCTTTAAATGGAAACCGGCTTTAATTATTAATAAGGGCTATAACCTCAAGAAATTTTTTATTACAACGACATCCTTCAAAAGCAACTAGTTGTTTAAAAACTTAAATAGAGTAATATGAATGGTTTGGCTACCAGCTATGTTATAAAAAGCAATTGAAAATTCTACCTTCCTCAAAGCATAAAACCGTAAAGCAAGCTGCCTTTCCTGCAGAATCTCCTACACTAAGGGATTCTAAGAAGCTTTTCACAAGTCTGCATGGTATTTAGATCTTGTAATGGACATAAATTAAACTAGTAATAACCACAACACCAACACCCCCTGTTTTTTCCCCTTCTCCATTTTGAGCTTCTTCCTAAGTGCTTTTAAAAAATTCCCCCTTTTGGTACTCTCTACATATTTTGTAAGACAACTTCAATCAGGAGTGAGCAGATCTGCGCTCACAATTCAGTTATTTCTTGTTTGATCTTGGAAAAGTTATCTGGAAAAACAACTATAAGTTACTTAGAAAATAACTAAGATCAGGAATGCTGTGACATACCAAATTTTGGAATGTCTGTACTACATTAGTTGTAGACAGTGCTGTATTTGATCAAAAATCTGATTCCTCTTGGCCAAAATTAGGGTTTGCCTTTGCAAAAGATTATTTTGTCTCTTAGGCTACTACATTATTCATTAGCTTGAAGTTACTTAAAAGAAAAGAACAAGTCACAGGAAGTATTTTTAATATTTATGGTTTAGACAGATCATCTCTTCTTTGAACATGCTTCATTTATTAAAAAAATTATTGCTGGTATGAAACACCTATGGTAACAGCAACTATGTGACAGACAGCCACAGCCACAGAAATCTCACGTCTCTCTTTTTCTATTTCTAGCACTGTTATGGTAAGGAATTTAATCTGTCCATGTCTCAGTTTACCTCTCTGTGCAACAGGCCCAGTACTGTTTCCTATTAATCCCAAAGCTACGGGAAGTTTACTGTACTCCAGATTCAGAAGACATTTCCTTCTTGCTGGAAGAGCTGCCCCATGGGCCAGACTCTGGGCTTGATGAAATCAATGGGAAATTTACTCCCAATTTCAGCAACTGCAGGATCAACCTTCAAGCACAATGCAACAGAGCCAACAGCAAATTCAAAGCAATGCTCACCACTGGAACTGTGCTAACATCTGCAATAGATCTAAAATGTCTCTCAGAAGATGAACTCTTTTTTTTCTTCTTTTATTTTTTTTTCCTTCTTCTTTCTTTTCTTTAAATGAATGCCATGGGCTCCTTTTCAGTAAGTCTTTTCTCCCTCTGGAGGGAAGAGATTTATCTGCTTTGAAAGAATCCTACTCAGATCAAATCTGATGCCACAAAGGGCAGGATTTGTAAAAAAAGTATTTCAACTACTCTAGTGGTACATGTCAATAAAGGAATAATGAAATAAAGCCATAAATAAGGAAAACAGAAGAAAACTACCCTCCAACACTCTAAAGACGTTATCAGTTCACATTTCTGGTATCTGAGCTGGCTGTAGCCCCAGTAAACAGGCAAACGAAGACCCAAAATTACAAAAAGAAAATCAAAGAGATATTAATATCTGTAAAGACAGAGAAAACTTCAGCAACAGAAGTGCCAAGAAGCTGACAGATGAAAAAAAGGTGCAGGAAAAGCTGGATACAAATATTAAAGGACGTGCCCTATCCCACAGAACTTAAGTGGAAGAGAAGGAGGTAAACCAAACTCGCACAGTAATGCACCCTAAGTGTTCATTGCACAAATATACACAAAATATACAAGCAAATGACATATTTAAATATATTAGGCAAGAAAAGCTATCTGAAGCAAATACCTGTCAAACTGCCATGATTCTACTATTTTTCACATACATTCTGTCCTCAACAATTATGTTGAATTCATCTTCAGGAAGGACAGACACTTGTGCAGTCAATCTCAACACAAATCTGAAAATGCAGTATTTCATGCTACTCCATCAGTAATTCCACTGTATGGCAAAGCTGGAATGGATGTTTCCTCCTTAAAGGTTCTCAGATTATAGTTCCAAATGCACATATATACCAAGAAACAGGACCTGCATAGGCATTTCTGAAGGACATATAGTTTTGTACAAGAAACATAATGCTCATTTAATGATCACGGCAACAGCTATAAAAGCAGGCCTAGGTAGATGAGCAGACAAGGTGTTAAACAAGCTGAAGTCTGAAAAGTTCTCTGGCAAAATAGAGCTAGATGGTACTTCATCAACTTTGTAATAAAGTATCTGGAAAGTAGCACCACAACAGCTCAACTCAGTGGCAGTGCTCCTACCAGGTTCAAGGGAGCCCATTCCATTCCAGGGTTCATAATTACCTCCTGGACTCCACTTCAACACAAACATGAGGGCTTCTCTGCAATATGACTACAGCACATTACAAACATTAAAAACCTTTTAGGAAAAAGTATTTTGGTTAAATAGACTAATGTAACTTTATAATGAGGGCTACTGACTTTGGTCAATATTTGGTGTATTTCTGGATGTCACCAATTGAAGATTAAGTCAATTTGCTTGTGCATGCATATTTAATAACTATATTCCTTGTGTTGCACAGCATTCAGTGCTCTCACCACTGAGGATATTTTTCCATGTTGTTCATATTTGTGTAACTTCCCAATTTTTCTCAGCATCATAGCACATCTTTACGAAAACTGAGGAAGCTTCTATAAGCTGCTGCTGTGCAAAACCCCCAAGATCATGAAAATTTCACAAGAAAATCACCTGATGGACATTTGCAAATTATTCATGCTATATTTAAGATAAAATACCTTTCCATTCTCGAGAATATACTTGTCCATTACCGGAACAGGGGCAGGATAGTACGTTGATGTATTTGCCTCCTCATTGAAGGTCTTCTGTACCTCAGGCTCAGGCTCAATTGACTCAGGTTTTACTTTTTCAACCTCAATGGCAGGTCCTAGACAGTTAAGAAAAGAGAGCTGTCTGCTATCCCAGAGAACACGAAATCAATCCCTTCATCACCCATGGTTAGCATAAAATAACACATTAGTCATGTTCACTTTAAAGTTAGAAGTAATCTAAACCAAAATCCTACTTCTGAACATCAATAAATAAAAGTAGGATGAGTATCTCTGCTTTATAAACATTAAAATGTTTAATTTTAATTTAAATGTTTAACTTTATTCTTAAAGCATAAGGACAATTACAGATATGGGTAATATTTCTTCAATACACACTAAGGAAATAATGTTAAAATGACACTGAAGTTATAAACCAAAAGCAACAATAGTAATTCTTCAGATAAGAATTGCTATATAGTTGCATGGAAACCTGCATAATTTACTGTGATAATTACATAAATTATCCACATAGAACCACAAATTTGAAATTTGAAATATCTTTAGATATAATAGAGGCATATAAAAAATAGTGAGGATCTACAGAAATGCTATAAAGGAAACAGGCTACTTAAGCTAAAGTATCATGCACAGAAAGAGTATCAAAGGTTTAAAAACCCCACATAAATTAGAATTTTGATTGTCCAATCCATCCAACGCTGATTTTTATTTTTAATGTAATCAACAAAAATTATGCACAGATTAAACAATGGAATACTACTCAGCATATGTTTGAGGCTTCAAAGGAGGATAATTATTTTGTCAGTCATCGACTTTTCTTTTTCAGATCAAATTTATAAAATATTCCTAAAAAGACAGAAGAATGAACTAAAATAACTTCAATTAACTGGATTTCATGATTCCATTCATTGCAGTGGCTCCACCAGAAGTCTAGGCTATGGCCCCAAGCCTATCCTTGTCCCTTGATGTCTGTCTCTAGGATCACGAGAAGCTCCAGCAGTCACTGAAGTTCCAGGCAGGGGCGATGGCTCGGTAACACAGCAAAGTTGCCAGCTTAGACCCTGGACACCAGGAAAATGTGCCACTTCCAAGATCTCTAAGGATAAACTCACACACTCATAAGTGCTGTATCGGACCAGGCTGGTGCTGAGAGCACTGCCCCACTCTGCAGCCCAACCCTGACATCTTCAACAAACGACAGCTCGATCAGCAGGTCACCGTCACCCATCACGGTCCCTCCTGTGTTTGTGCACAAAGACCAAGCCCTGAATTGATCTCACTCTGCAAGTCACGCTGGCACCAGAACTCCTGTCTTAGTCACGGATCTTAAATAGTTCCTGTGCCTGGAACAAGCACAGCATTCATTCCTCCTACTTTGTGCAGTTTCATTTAGGGATTATTACACAGTGATAGCAGTGCTTCCTCCGTTGTCAGCATTTGACATTTATCCTATAGCTTATTCTACACCTACATACCCAGCTAAATGTTCTCAGCTGGCTGCCACTCAACGCTCAGCAACGACTAAAAGTTGTCTTGGCAACTCAGACAACCCTACACTGCAGTGCCACCAACTAAAGTGTCTCAAGAGCCAGCCCCAGTGCAAGCATGGCACAAACAGAGAAATCACAAAAACATCCCATCTGCATTATAATTTCACTGTCATCTTAGTAAGCACCTCTATTGCCATGAAAATACAATGGTATGGCCAAGACAAACTAAACTTCCTAAACTTGAGACTGCTGAACTGATTCCGACTGGGGGAAAGACCTGCATTGATTCAAGCAGCCAAAGCCTGCCCACAGGATGGGCACACCTGAACAACCAGACGCAGGGATGTAATTGCCAGGGTGACCTTAAGAAGTCATCTTTTAGCTGTTACTTTAAGAAAACGTTCTTCAACAGAGGGCTATTTTGAGTTTTCTTACACTTTGAAAGTCACTTTGAGGAAGACACCTAAGTACAACCACCTTCTTCCTAGCAGGAAACGTTTATTTCAGTTTAAACACTTTTACTACTTGCTATTTAGGAGTCTTTCACTATTTTGTTTATAGTCATATATTGACACAGCTGCAATTTGGTTTCCAGAGTTTCCCCAACAAAAAGAGCTGATTAAAGTCCACAATAACCACAGCTCAGAAAACCTCTGTTGCAACTCATGCTTTACTGCTTGCTTAGCAGTCACCAAGAGAAAGCCTTTAAAAGGTCTTCTTTTATATTCTGATTTTTGATTGCCAAACAGAAACTGCCTCTAACCAGGCAGTTTTCACAGCCACTTTCACCAACCACCGAACTGCATTTTCAACCCAGCATGCTGTGAATTAGACACGCAACCTGCACTACTGCCTGACTGCTGTGTGCCCAATTTACCACACACCACACTCCAAGCTTCCCCTCTCTACTGTAGCTCTTGTGCTCTGCATCTTGTTTTAAAGATAACGAATGGGACATATAAAAATACATACCACTATCTAAAGGCTTAGCACTTATGTAATAAGGATCAGGAAAAAAAAAAAGACAATTTTTCAGAATACAAGAAGGAATTAAATGTTTTATTGCAAAATCTCTCTCCTCCTGACTGTAATTTTCTTATAATATCTGAGAGGCCAGCAAGTTCAAATGCAGAATGAAGAACTAGAAGGTTTCCCTTCACAATCTCTTTTCCTCTAAAATGCATCTTGGGCCACACGCTACTGAAAAGTTAGTTAGAAAGTAAAAATAAGTTAAGTGATAAAGTGGTCAATATACATTTGTAAGTAGCAAATTTTTCCACATGGTCCACCAGAATTTGAAACAAAACAACACGAGTCTGAGGAGTGGCAATATTGGTACTTCCTGTACTTGACAGAAACCTTGGCATTTTTTTTCTGGTTGGTTTTTAATTTATTTATTTTTTTACGTCGAAAAGCCAAACAAATCTAGAAGAGCTGAAAACCGGTAATTCCTAATGTGCGGCAAGACATAAATCCCATTTCATTCTCCCTATTCTGGTGTCAGTCCCAAGACACAGCAAACTGGATGGCTGAAATTAAACTGGGATTAAAACTAAAACCTTGAGGGTCTGTATGCACGTGTTGATGAATCAGTGTTTCTGAATGAACGTGAATATACTCCCTGACTTTGGAGCAACACCAGTGCTCAGCAATATAACATGAAAATGAAGTATTTATCAGGGAGCTAACACCACCCAAGCATTACTGCTGTAAAACTTCACTACTACTGGCTACATACAGCCAGAGAAAACTGCACAGATCTTGCCATGGAGACAAATTTTTTTTAAGAAGGTTTTGAAATTATTCTTTTGCAATCCAAGGACAGTTTAAAGTCCCTACAGGGGAGACTCACTTATTTAATACTCTACCTCACTCTCTATTGATAAAAAGAGGGCAAATTAGTGTGCTTTCAGGTGATAAACTGCAAAGGTCTACAACCACAGGGCTTCCTGATCCCAAAGCAGGCAAGGCAAAAGGCTGCCCACGTTCCTCCAGGAACTCAAATGAGGGATACCATAACCTTTTCTACAACAGTCATCACAGTTTTCCACTGTTTTGGTCCCTAGAGCCCTGGTCAAATGCCTGCCTCCTGCAGGAAGTGATCTCTTGGGCAATAACACGCTAAAACCATAAAGATTAAACATATCTCCACAGATCAGTACTGATTTCACTACTGCTATTGGCCACATCCGCCTTCAAGGCTCTTTTATGACAAAGAGCAATCCAGTGTCACCACGTGGAAGATGAAGAACCTCACTCCTCCCACCAGAGTGGCTCAAGTTTAGCAGCAGAGATGAAGGCCTAGATCTAAACACATTGACTTCCAGCCCCTCACTGAAATCAAACCGTTGATGGGTAATTAGGAGACTGACTACTTGACTGAGCCTTAGCTCAAGAGGCTGTTCTGTATTTGATCTGCAGGTTTAAAATGGCAACAGGCACGCATTTCCCACAGCTGCAATTCATCAGCACAAACCAGCTGTCATCTCATGCAAAGAAATCAGAAGTCTCTAAGGTGAAACAGAAATGCAATTAGTTTGCATTAAGTCCAGCCTGCTAGAAGTGCAGCGTAACATAAATTACATGTAATTTGAAACTCTAGGTTTAAGAGATCACTGCAACTGAAGATGAATTCAGGATGTAATTTATTTTCGGAACAATTTTCAGAGATTATTCACATACCCAAACATACCTCATTTGTAAGATGGAAAAGGAAGACTAAAAAAGTCTTTACGTATCTATTTCTTGATTAAAAGTAACACTTTTTCATACTGCCATCAGACTCTCCAATTTATAATGTGCTGAAGATGTCTCCCTTGCTAATTATTCATAAGTTTTGTATTGATCTTTCTAGAACACAGTCGTTTCTCTACTGTGAATGAGGCTACAAGGAAAGGCAACAGAGTAAGTAGCAGTTAATACAGAGTCTTAGGAAATACAAACCCCGTGAAGGACACAGCCCACAGGGCCAAACTCTACCTTTGTCACCATGAAAAGTTCCTTACCAATAATAACAAGAGATTTCTTTTTTTTGAATTACCTATAGCTGATATTTGTCCAGGTATGTGATTAAATTAAAAGAACTTGTCTCCAATGTAATTGAGATTTATTTTCAGTTGTAAAGCAGGTGCCAGACTGATATAATTGAAACCCATGCCCAATATTTAGAGAAGATTCAGTATTTTTTCCAGGAGGTTTTGGGGTTTCTTTTCCTCTTTATTCCCCCCCCCCCTTTTTCTTCTAAAGTTTCTTTTTTTGGCTTAAGAGAAAAATGCATCCTTTTTCTTAAAGTGAAAGAAACAAGACAGAATTCAGTAGCTGTCTTCATTTCACTGCTGGTCTCACCACTCCAATTGCTGTCAAGTCTACCAACTAAATTGGTACTTTATGCTGTTCAGCCCCATTGCCTACCAACATCTGGCTTGTGCTCCATTCACATAAATTCCAGCTAACTACTTGCAGATGAAGAAACATCTTTCCATCCAAGGAAAAGTTTAGAAAGCTCAGTGGAATCTACTGCCAACCACATTGCGTTTTTCAGGCTGTGGAAACCTCGCCTATTTAGTTTTATTTAAAAAGTTAACTAGAATGTTTGTAATAAGTAACGACATTTTAATTATGCACAGTGTAACAATGATGAGCATTCACAATCAAACACCCAGTTCCAATAGCTGGATACTCCAAGAACTTGGCTCCAAAGTTGTGGGCACACCTCAACACATGCTACAGCACAGGCACATGCTCTCCCAGGTTCAGGTTCGTAGTGAATGTAACTCAGACCCACATGCAGATTGCATGCACTCGTTCCAGTACAGGAGAAGAGCCAATATCCAATTTACATGCAAAAATTAACTTTCCAGGTACACAAAGGCAGACGTAAGAAACAGCATGCTAGGTTCGGATGCACAAATTTCAACCAAGTTTCAGTCACCGAGCAAATCTTCAACACAGCAGTACCACATTCTAATAGCAAATAAAGGTAATTAGTAAAAATTCTGAAGGTATTCCAAGGGTACCGTCTTCAATGAAAAGGATGAACTTTTTATTTTGTCTTTTTTTCCCATTTATTCCAACATAATGCTTAAATAATTCTTATAAACCCAAACAATGAGCAATTGACTCAGGATAGTTAAAACTGAAACCCAAATTACACAAACCTGCATTTTGTAACAAGTGTTGATAAACGGGACACTAATATAAAAAGTTTTTTTAATTATTCTTTAACACTCCATTCTTTTTCAAATAGCATGGCTGTTTAAAGCCACTGCTAAGAAGTTTAGGAATATATCACATTCTAATAAGCTACTAATGGGAAGAGGGGTCAGAAAATGGATGGTAACATAGTCACAGAACAATAAACAAAAACCCTAACTGAAAAGAATAAATTAGTTTTAGCCCAACTAGTCATTCCAGTGCCTTTTCTTTTTTTTCCTTTTTAAACTGGAACATATTGGTGTATTTTGCAGATGACGCTTTATTAACTTTTTCAGCATATATCGGAAGGTCAGAGACTCTTTAAAATACAGCTGCTTAAAATGGAACTCTGATTCAGCCATACCAGCACAAAGACCTCTACTTTTTAAAGAAAAACCCAGACGTACATAGCATACAAATTCAACACATATTGTACAGCCACAGCAGAAAACCCCTTTAACATTCAATGTCCAGTTTAACAACCACCGCTATTCTTCAAATACGTTTCCGTTACTATTGATCACACTTGCAAAATTCATTCAAACTAGTCCCACTTAAGTCCGGCACTTACCACTACCTAGTCTTAGGAGCAGTACATCCTGGAGCCTCCTGTTCAAGTCTCTGAGCTCTTTCATTTCTGACACGAGTGCCCCATACTCTTTGAGCTTCTTTGCCTGTTGCACAAGCTGTCTCCGCGTTCTCTCCAGCTCCTGTTGGATGTGCCTCATTTCTTCCTGTTGCTGTTGGTAACTCCTCAGCAATTCTTCGTACAGAATCCGAGGAACTACAGCATCGTCCATATTGTTCATGCCTTCTGTAGTCTCCATAAAAGCCTCCTCAGGGCTGGAAGTATTACTGAGACTCATCCCGTTCTGTTTTTCAAGGCGAGCAACAACTGCTTCAATGCTTTTGTGTGTACCTTCACTTTGTTTCCTCCCATCTTGTCTCTGCACGTTACAAGAAAAAAAAATAAATAAATTAGGAGAGCAGTAAGAAGTAATAAAATCAAAAACTCTACAGACCTGGAAATGGTTAATATTTCCGGTTTCCAAAAACACTCTGCAAAAATGTTTTGCCTAACAGATCCTTGTGGCTATAATATACATCATAACTAACATGTAATTGTAATTTTGCTAAATGCAGGTACAAACTTCTGAGGCAGTTAAAGGCCTTTTTGCAACACTTACAAACTCAGTGTCACTTGATCCCATAGAGTTCTTTTTTAAAAAAGTGGATCTAAATCTCTTTTTCTTTAAAGTTTACCCCTAACATTCAGATTTCCGACAGCAACTGATTTTCTGGTAAGTAAGAGGAAAAATCAGCTGTGTGCTACATTTGTCACCTGTGATAACATCAGAGATGAAAGCAGCACAGGGCACAAAGCTGTTCTGTGAATTGAGGGCTTGTCCTTCCCACACTTTGGGAGACAGAACCTTCCCTGACTATCCCTCCAGCGCATTCACCCAACTTCCTGATGCAAGAGACTGAGTTAACACTATCAGCAACATTGAAAGGGATTCAAAAACAGAAGCTGGAGACCGAATATAATCATCCAGCCTCATCTCCCTTATCAACTGATCCCTTCTATATTAATACTGCATTGCAGAGGCTTCATGTCCTTTGAACTCTCAGCAGAATTTTACCTTCAGTCACCTGCACAAACCCTACAAATTAAATCACACCTCTTAGGCCTCAGTAGTGGTATTAATATGTGACAGTATGGGTAAAGTCACTAAGTTTTACAGGCCAAATATCAAAAGGCATTTGAATTTCCAAGCGACTGCAAGGAAAGCAAATGCAGTTCATGGGTTAGAGATGAGAAGCTGACACTATCAATTCCCATACCACAATATCCAAGAGTAATGTGGCAGAAAACGAAGTTATTTGATGCTACGCCTGCTGCATGTTCTAAAGACATTAAAAAAAAAAAAAAAAAAAAAAAAAGCTGGCCCACCATAAAGAAATGTACTAGTATCATTCCTGCAGCTGCAAAACACATGAAGCCATAGAGCAGTATTTTATTCTGGAGGTTGGCAGACTTTTAAAGAAATCATTTGATATAAAAAAAAAATAAATACATTTCCATAGTGAGTTTCTGGCATCCGGACCTAAAAAGGCAACTGGCAGTTACAATGGAGAGATGCAGTCCTATCAATTCTTCTTCTCGGCCACTGCTGTAGTTGGGAAGTCTCAGAGCACCCCTTCCAGTTCCAAACAAGCACCGTGCAATAGGCCACAAGTGCCACTGAGAACAGCTCTGCTCCACAGTCATGGAACTGGGGACTCTTAAGGTTTTCTGGGCCAAACTGGAAGAGCATTGTTCCAAAAATCTCAGATGGCAATTAAACTGTGCAGACAGGACACACAGGAAAATGTTCAGTTGCACTTACATCAGGTTTTGAAAACCCGTACCCCACCCCCACACACAGTGTGACCCAATTTCACCAAACACAGCATTTTAAGGGGATCAAAAGCAGGCCTGGAATTCTTAAGCTGAGACGTCTGTATGTGCCCCAAGCACTTGCAAAACAGAAAAACAAAAAGGAAAGGAAGGGAAAAACCAAAACGGAAAGACTTCAGTACCTTACTGTGTCTAAGCTCCACATCTTCTTCCCCATAATCTGTAACCTCCCCAGCTTCTTCTATGTGATTGAGAGAGAGTTTGGGGATTTTAATTTTCTTCTGCATCACACTGTTCTCAAGGTCAGTTTTGTCCTCTAAAATGTATATTAAAAATAAAATTGTGTTACATTAATCAGTGTTCTTACTTCCAAATACTATATGACTTAGGTAAGACCATTAAAAAACCCCAGCCTCCCGTGCTCCAATCCCCTCATAATGCCACATTCAAATTAATCCATGGTCCAAGTCAACTGATGCCCACTGAGAATTCTACAGTTCCGATAGGGATCAATCTGGCCCAACACCAGAATAAATACTGAAAAATGCCAAGCTAAATTTATGTGATAAGAAGTGCCAATGAGTGGCTTGTACCATCACCAGAGTTGCAGAGGCTGTAAATAAAACTTCCTGAAAACCATTTGTATTGCTTTAAATTATGTTTACTAACAGTGTTCTCATCTTTTGCTGCAGTTCAAACTCTGCTAAGGGTTAAAGTGAAAATAAACTTGGTAATTCATCCTGTGCTCTAACCATCATCTGTCAGCAGCACACATCTATTTGCACACACAGCAGATTCTGCTGTTCCGCAAAGTGCAGGGCTGGAAAAGGGAATGCTGCTAGAGAGCTGGAAAGGGCAGTGCACAAAAGTTGCACAAGAACCAAATCTGTAACAAAATTACTATACAACCCCTATTTCATTAGTTAATGGTACTAATCCTTTTCCTTTAGACATACAAAGGCAACAGTTATATTAACTTTGGCGTCTCACTGAAAAATTGAAGTGAAATAGTTTGAAGTCTGAAACATTTTGACGTATCTCAAAATTAACCATTTAAAAATGTTACTCTGAAAAAAAAAAAAAAGAATTGAAATATTTTAATATTCCTGAGAAGGTAGGGAGGGGACAGGGAACCAAGAGTTTAGTGTCCCCAAATGTGCCTGTGATATGTAAAATTCCTGCAGAACAGACAAGGTCTTAAAAGATTCACCTGTTCCCGACACTGACAAGGTGAAAGGCATTTAAACTGCCAAGCCTTGTCTTTGTACACTGAAACCTTAAGAATAAGAAAACGTTCTGAGTTTTCTTATCCACCTGCAAATTGTATTTCAGGAAGTGTCCCGTGAATATTTTTGAAAGTGCCAATGAGGATGGCCCCTGTGAGTGCTTAGCTGCGTTGACTTTTGCTTTCTCAAATTAGCATCTCTCCACAGGACCTCAAAATGGTTCGTGTTGACAGTGTAGGGAAGGGAAACAAAGGTAAATCACTGTTTAATGAGGAGCAAGGCATTCATTAGAAATGAATTACACAGATGAATGCAATTCATTTTGTTACAGATAGAAATGGATCTCTTGTAGGCAAATGGTGATATTACAGCCCAAGGCTATGTAAAAAGAATAGGCACAGAACATGCAGAATAAGACATTAGACAACCTGAAATGAAACGCAGATGGTAGCAATAAATACTAAGACAGATGCAAAAAGAAACAGATAAACAACAAAAAACAGCTAGGCTTATTTTAGATCATTCTCCATTCCCCAGAGCATCATGGATGCTTATCCCAGTAAAACAAAAAGGCAATCCAACTGTTTCAGTTTTGAAAAATAAGCCACTATGTTTTCGTCTATCTGGAAAAATGTAGGTTCATCAGAAAAGTGAGATAAGCCAATTCTAATGCCAGACAGCTGAGAAGAAAATAAGGGAGCCTTTCCCTAAAAAAACCACAAACTTCTAGACTAAAGGACTGACTGATGGGCATAGCTTGAAAGAAAGAAAGAAATTTAAGAATAAATGAACCCATACTGAATGGAAAAAAACGACACCCACTAACTTTTTCTGTGTCTATGTATTTTGGGCTATGGGATAGATTGAGGAATCCTTTGCTAAAATATGTTCTCACAATTCCTTAGAGGAAGAGCAGCACATGGATACTGCAGAGCCAGCTTCTCTCGACTGCTTTGCCAAATCCCGTTCCACAGAACATGTGGATGACCTCCTTCTCCGTGTAGAGAATGCAGATCAGGTTCTGTGCTCTGAAATAACCCTTGGCCTCACAACCAGATGGACACAATCCATTACTTCACGCCGTTAAAAAAGTTGTCTGCCGGCAACTGGCTGAGGTCACCAGGAGCCAGAACCCCACACAAAGGGGAAAAAGAAACTTTGAAACAATCATGGCAAGGGGTCACAGAGGAGTAAGTGCCCGTGCAGACTACAAAAGTCAGCAAATACTTTACAATTAATAAAACAACATGAAAATAAAAACGGTTTGGAAGAATCAAAATGTTTACCTTTTTTTAGGTCAATTCATAAAGGTTAAGAACATATTCTATCCACTTAACAATGCAAATGAAAGAAAATACTTAGTCTTGGGTCAAAGAAAACAGTGCAATTCATCTGGGTTCTTCATTCTCTTAGTTCTCCACCCAACTTCTCGGTTCACCTATGAAATTTATGTTTGCAAAACTTCACTGGTTGATTGAAGGTAAGTTTGTTTATTTATCTCCTTACAAATGTTTAGTTTGTACATTACTGGCATGTAACTATCAACACGGCCCTCTTTCTCTTCGTTAGACTTTTTGGGTTTACTGTTTATGGTGTACATGAACCAGTAAGTTGAAGAAGGGAACTCTTTTATCCCCCACAAACTCTGAAGAGACAAGGGTAAAAATCAGCTTATATAAGTTAAAGCTCAGGAACTTTTAATGTAGTCAGTAAGCATATAAATGTTCCTCTGCCTTCCAACAACAATACATATAACATTTTTTTACATATGCTCTGGTCTTTGAAAGCTTATTTATACCCAACACAATCCATTCAGTGTGTGGGATATGAAAAGGCCTTTTGTTCTTTTTTTTTTTAAAGTGCATTTCTAACCTCTGTTGTCTTCTGCATCAGCTGCAGATAGAGCCAGAAAAATCTCATTCTAAATTTGAGGCTAATGCTGGAGTACTGGCTCTTGTTCTGTAAATATTAATGGAATTCGGGAAGGGGTGGGAGGGAGAGAGAGGAGATGTGGGGGAGGGGTAGGAGAAATATGAACATGCATTTACAGAGTCCTAAGGAGAACTGCTCTGTCTGTTGTTTTGCCAGCCTGCAAAAGACAGGTACAAAAGGACAATCCAGCAAAAAAACCCCACACCCATGATTTTGAGCCAGAAGAAAACCAGGATATGAACCAAAGGCATGGACAAGCTGCAATTCAGTGCCTGAGGCTACAGAGGAGAGAGAAGGGCAGCCCTAAAACCGTTGTAGCTCAGAGCCTCATTTTGTAAAATCATTTGTCTGGATTTTGTTTCCCAGTCCTTTAAACTGTGCTAGAAGTTAAAAATTATACCTTCCCTTAGGTGGCCATGGTCAGATTGTCATAAATTTGTGTCTTTTGTTTTCCCTCTACATGGAATAAGTGGTTCAGTGGTGTCAGCTACTGAGAACCAGCACTTAACATACCTAGTTTGTTACAAGTACCTAGTTAGGTACTTGTAACAAAATATGCAGGGTAGATGCAGGGTGCAGGACTGGGCAGCATTGATTCCCTTTGGTTTTTTAGGAGGGGACATTCTGAAAGACATGGAAATTAGGAAAATTTGCTTTTGTTCACAGACAGAGAACCTGGTACTCTGTGGTCGGATATAAAGAGTGAAGCATGCTGGAATAACTGTACTCCAAGAAAAGGTCAGACTTGGAGAGATCTTGGCAGACAACTCCTCAAGGCACTGAAGTACAGGGCTCAAGAGCCAGAGCATGTGACAGCAGCTCTCCCCACACCGGCTCCCACCAAAGCTGCACTGGGAGTGAGAAGAAAATGAACTGCTGAGGAATGTCAGAGTGGCTGGGAAGACACTTGGCCTAAGCAGTGCTCCAAGAAAGAAAAGCAACCCTGCATCAGAGAATCCGTATCAACCAGCAAAGGATACAGTGCCCCTGGAATGCTTTTTTCAGTCAGGCCCTCATTTTAGTGTCAGCATGGGTGGGTCCAGGCCAAAAGGGAACACCTTCAAGTCCACAGGGGCAGGGAATTGCAGCAGAGAAAGTGACTTTAACAGGGCAGGAACCGAGTCAGTTAAATTAAAAGAGAAATTTTTTACTGCTCTAAGACTGAAAATCCTATCATGGGATGTAGAATAATACTATGGAAATCTCAAAGTCTCCTTAAAAACATTCCAGACTTTCTAATTTAGAAATAAGGACTGAACAAAGTAATCCCTTCAAAATATAGTTCAAATGCTTAATTTTTTCCACTTTTGGAGTAAAAGCTGAAAAAAATAAAGGAAGAGAGGTCTGCACTCCAAATGGATGAGGGATGGCAGGTCTGGTATCAGTCCAAAGAAAGGGCTTGGCAACACTATAAATCTTACAGTAATAAAATGAAAGAACCTTGAACAAAATTCATCCTTCCCCTAAGCCTTCAAAAAAATTCCATCCCTTGTGAAAAATGATATACTGACTGATGAAAAAACTTACCTTCACCCTTCCCATTTCCAGGCTTGTACCCAGCACATATGGACAACACCTGCACAAGATTCCCCACCCACTGCTGCACTGAGCTGGTTTGCTACTGATTTAGCCAGGTTGCTTCTACAGGCAGGTAACATCACCAGCCTCGGCAGGACGTGCAGTTACAGTTCATAAAGTCAAAGATGCAAAAGAACTGAACCCATAACCAAAGGTATATGTGGTGCTTCAAAGCAAATACACCAAGCACGACAGGGTATGGATTCCTAAGTGCCACTTACACACAAATAAACAATATTCAATACTGCTGTGACTGAGAAGGAAAACAGCATGATGATAATGATAATAATAATAAAAAAGCCACCTAGCTTATTTGAAACGGGCAAAAAAAAAAAAGAACTATAAATTACTTTCTTAGCTAATTTAATGGAAACATTAAAGGAGGACTTAAACAGGAAGAACAGACAAGATTTCAGAAAATGTAATGATGCTGCAGGCTCAGAAGATATTCAGGATACAAAGGGAAAAATGTGTCTCATATAAAGCAGAAGAGACTGAGAATGACAGTAACAGACAACACAGGGCAGCAGACAGCAGTAGAAATGCAGAAGTTATTTGAAGAGGACAGGTGTCACCAAAC